GTTTTTGACATTTACATTTTAGTTTTTGACATTTTCACTTTTGTTTTTTGACATTTCCATTTTAGTTTTTGTCATTTTCGCTTCACATTTCAGCGATTCAATAGCTACTTGAAAGTACATTTTCCATGTTTTCGTTTTTTTTTTCATGATTTATCACATATTTGTATGACAAATTGTATTAATTTGCAAAAGGTTACGATAAAAGTAAGTGACATATCAAAATATTGAAAAACAGACTCCATGTCCCTTATGGGCCATCGTAGAAACCTTTGTCATGCCCAGGTCATACCTGAGAATGTTCTCAATTCTGTCATGAGATATGTCTACTGTATTGGCTGTGTTTTGTTTGTTGTTGCATCCCGTTCGCAATGGTGTTTTTACTTGGTTTTTCAGCATCGTGCCTTTGCTCGTACTTGGGGCTTTCCTCCCACATCACTCTCACACACACTTACTCCTCCCACATCAAGCTGACACGCCGTGATATGGCTGAAATACTGTTCACATCAGCGTTATCCAAACTCACTCACTCCGCTAAACATTTTTATGGTGAAATACTCTCGGTAAGTTATTATGTTATATTGTTATTATTAATAGATAATAGTTAGGAACGGAGTTCTTCCGTCCGGTTCTCAAAGGGGACAAGTTTTATTAAAAACTATTTAAGTCAGAGAAATGCAATTTGTACACACTGATGTCACTGGTCATCATCTCAACTGAGTTCGAAAATTGGTGTCGTAAATTCGTTGTTATGGCCCTTGCTCCGTGCTTTTGAACTTAGTTGATACTGCGTGAAATTGGGACAGGGTTTCTCAGAAACTGCTGAAGTTACATGAATGAAAGTGTGCATGCTTATCTAAGAGATACTTTTCAAGACTGAGTTAGAAAATTGGTCCCATAAATTATTTTGTTACAGAGCTACGGCCCTTGATCCACGTTATTGTACTTGGTGCATAGTGTGTATAGTTTTCAGAAACAACTGAAGTCAGCTTGAGGATTCAGTTATTTTTTTCCAGAGCTGGGTTTTTTGCGTGTATTATTTCACATCTAATTAATTTTGTCTAATGACATAAAGAAGACCAAGTGCCTATCTCTTATTAAGGCTTTGTATGACTCTTGTTGACGGTTTATATTCACTACTATACGAACAAACAGAATTCTAATGTGCCCCATGGCGGGGGATAGTGATAACGCTGTTTTCCTGTTAGACGTACCTTCAGGTTGGGCTGTTCATGCTGTGGAAGTGTGAATGTTTCATAACGTTGCCAAGGCGATTAGGTTTCCAACAATATACCTACCTCACGTGCACTGTGAAGAATCCCACGTGGCGTCTTGTGTTTAAAGGTCAGGTTCGTGTTAATATACATCCCATTATTGTCTAAGGAATTTTGTTGGGTCAAGCTGAGACTCGCGGTCTGACATCCACAACAATAGTGAGTGAGGTTTTACGCCGCTTTAAGCAATTTTAGCAATATTCCAGCAATATCACGGCGGGGGACACCAGAAAAGGGCTTCACACATTGTACCCATGTCGGGATTCGAACCCGGGTCTTCGGCGTGACGAGAGAACGCTTTAACCACTAGGCTACCCGACCGCCCCTTCCACAACAATAACTTTGATAACTTCAGCCGCAATATGATTCCTGTTCTCCCATACTTCACTGAGAGGAACGAACATTGCTCCTTCGGGAATATTTTTTTAATAATGTGCCACCGTCCTTGGATCCATCTGTAAAAATGGAACGGTGGGATTCATATTTAGTTCTAACTGTAAATATTCTTGCTGATATATTAATTGATTTGTGTCTGATTTTTTAAATTGTGTAAGAGTTAAGTCCACTTCCGGTCTGATAAGTTGCCAAGGACGAGAAGACAGAAGCCTGAACGGAGAAATAGTATCTAAATCAATATTGGCAGCTGTAATGTGGGGTTTAATCCAAATGCCTAGTGGTGGGGCCAGCTTAGGCTTAGTATGAAAAAGCTCTTCGTAAAGGGGTTGAAATATACAGTTATATGCAGGGTGTAATGGGTTAGAGCGTAATTTTGTAATGTATTGAAGCGATAATTTGATACGCCGTTGCTTCAACGATGGTTCATCAACTTCTACATATAAGCTATCTACAGGAGACGTACGAAATGCGCCAAGACATAGTGTTAGGCCCTGATGGTGAATTGAATCTAATATTTGTTAATTGCTCTTACAGGCTCCACCATAAGCGATGGAGCCATGATCTAATTTAGAGCGGATCAGAGACCTCTACAAGTGTGGGAGGTTTGTCTGATCACCTCCCCACTTTGTATGGGCAACAACTTTCAACAAATCTAATGCCTTCAGGCAAGTTTTGAGATAATTAATATGTGGCTTAAAAGTTAAATGGTGATCGAAAATGAGACGCAGGAACTTGGCCCCTCCTACAACCTTGATAGGAGTGCCATGTAAAAATAGCTCTGGATCTTTATGATGTTTGTCTTTCCTACAGAAATGTGTACAATTGGTCTTAGCTTTGGAAAACTTAAAACCATTTTCGAGACACCATTTGTGGATTTTGTTGAGACAAAGCTGCAACTGTCTCGATGGTATGGATATTTTTGCCACGACATGAAATATTAAAATCGTCCACAAAAAGTGAACCATCAATGGAATCATTTAAAACCTTTGACAGACTATCGATCTTTATACTAAACAGAGTTACAGACAAAATACTGCCTTGTGGGACTCCCTGATCCTGATTATAATGGTCAGACAGGGTGGAACCCACACGATCCTGAAATTGTCGGTCTGTTACAAATTGGGATATAAATTTAGGCAAACGTCCTCTTAACCCCAAATCATGTAGATCTTTTAAAATACCATGCTTCCATGTGGTATCATACGCTTTTTCTAAATAAAAAAAAGATTGATACTGCATGCTGGTTATTTACAATTGCATTTTTGACAAAGGATTCTTAACGTACTAGATGGTCAATGGTACTTCTATTCTGACGGCAACCACATTTTATGTTACTTATGAGATTTTTGGTTTCCAAGTACCACACCAGTCTATTGTTTACCAGTCGCTCCATGGTTTTGCATACACAGCTGGTCAGTGATATTGGTCTATAATTAGATGCATCCGTATGGTCCCTACCAGGTTTAGGTAAGGGAACAACTATTGCATTACGTCACGAAGGAGGAAAAGTTCCCGATGTCCAAATGTGATCAAATATATTAGGTAATGTCTCTAAACGTGAATCAGGCAAATGCTTCAAGAGCTGATAGTGAATATTATCAGCTCCCGTTGCAGTATCTTGCGCTTGACCTAGGGCAGTATTTAGCTCATGGAGTGAAAATACCTCATTATAATCTTCTCCATTTTGAGAAGTAAAATCAACCCTCTTCTTTTCCTGTTGTTTCATAGTTCGACGATGAAAATACCTCATTATAATCTTCTCCATTTGGAGAAGTAAAATCAACCCTCTTCTTTTCCTGTTGTTTCATAGTTCGACGATGAAGAATGTTTGGTCAGCGTTTTGCCCAATATATTGGCAAAGTCCGATTTATCTGTGAAAAAATGGACACCTTCCAGCTGTTACAGCTTTGTTTGTCCGTCTGGTTGTTGTTTAACGCCATTCAGCAATAATTCAGCAATATGATGGCGATCTGTAATTAATCAAGTCTTGGCCACACAATCCAGTGATTGACATCATGAGCATCGATCTAGGCAATTGGGAAACGATGACGTGCATCAACCAAGTCAGCGAGCATGATCACCCGATCCCGTTAGTCGCCTCATACGACAAGCATAGTCGCCTTTCACGACAAGACGGATCTTTTCGGGTTGCTAAAATTGCTTTGGTGTGAGTGAGTGAACTGGGTGATATGTCGCTTTGAACAGTAATTTAGCAATAGCAGGTCTTAGATGTTTACCCCTTTAGCGAAACACACGGGTATGGTGCTGATAAACCAAAATACACAGGGCGAATCTAGAATTCGAACACCTGGTCAGCGGATCCTGTCAAACCGTCTTTGAGTATTGGCTGACCGTGCTCACACCTCGGAGTGAGTGTGTGTTCTTCAAAGCCACAATCAGCGATGTTCCAGCTATATATCGGCCGTCATAATAAACCTTATCTGGACAAAGCAGTCAGCCAAATCACTGATCCTGAACACCCATATTTAAAAGTCGATTTTGTGCCCAGCTTGAAAAATTAATATATGAAGATACGAGATTAATTTCCAGTGCCCTGGTGTCTTCCGAGTGCATCAAAAATTAAATAGTTTGACTTTTTACAAACAATGCTCAAATATTTATTTCATGTTGCACTTTGTTGGTTTGCTCGTTTAGATCACACATTGTGACCAACAGATCCACACAGTCGACTCTATCCCAACTGCGTGGATCGATGCTCATGATGTCAATCACTGGATTGTCTGGTCCAGACTCGATTGATTACAAACCGCCGTCATATAGCTGGAATATCGCTGAGTGCGGCGTTAAACAACAAACAAACAAACATAGCCGGTTCTGGGCCACACAAACCAGTGGGTGACATTGTGAGCAAAGTGCTGTCGTGGTACAGTGGCAGGCTTGTTTTAGTCACACATTGTGGCCACCCGGTCCTCACGTGTCGACACGTAGGCTTTGTGTGTTGGTGTTTTACGCCGATGTCAACAATAGTCCAACTCAATAAATAATCTTCCAAACCAGTGGTTGACATTGTGAGCAAAGACCCACCCTGGCGAGGTACATTGACAGGCAAACAAGTCACCTACCTCGACGATCCGAATGTTTGAGGTTACATCCGGCTAAATATATCCCAGAATCCCCACGAGATCGCGACCCGTGAAGATTCCGGGATAGGATACGTCTTCAGCAACCCATGCTTGCCGTAAAAGGCGACTAACGGGATCGGGTGGTCAGACTCGCTGACTTGGTTGATGCATGTCATCGATCCAAATTGTATCTGCATCCTCACTTTAACGGATGCATATGATTTACAGAAATCAGACGACTAAACGCGTGTTCAATCAGTGGCCTTTATTTGACATGTTAATATGGCCTTTCACAGATGAAATTGTTGACAAGTTTGCAGTCAACATCATTCCATTGATATCCATTGACCTGCCATATTTGAAGACAGTGTTCCACATTAAAATAATTGCTGGGATTTCCTGGTGACCAGTTGGTGTAGGTAAGGAGTTGATCCCCGTCCCACACGTATCGCCCCTCCAGCCCCAGGTCACTCCCGCCGATGTAATAGGCAAAAGCTAAATAGAGGGAGAGAATCTTATTCAACCTGCTAGTGTATAACATATAGTATTGGAATGGTGAACAAAACATGGAACACACAGTTGTCAGCAGAGAATGTACTGTGTAACAAGTGTGAGTGTTTGTTTGTTTGTTGTTTAACGCCGCACTAAGCAATCCTCAAGCTATGAGACGGCGGTTTGTTAATACTCGAGTCTCGATCAGATAATCCACCTATTCCAACCCGGATCTCCACGGGTCTAAGGGAGAATGACTTCGTTCATATGAAGCATCGCATCAGCAATCTTCCCGAAATCTTTAGTGAAGTGTGCATGTTTCACAAGTATGCAGAGACGCAGCCTATCCTAACCCCTCACACCAACCCAACCCCCTACACACATACTTTAAGGAAGAGAACATATCAACGAAATGGATCCCAACGCCAATGGGAACCCTCAAAATGAATTCCCGTCTCTGTCATGTAAATGTACATCCCGGTTGAGAGAAGTCTCTCACACAACCCCCAATCCCCATGGAAGTATAGCTGCATGTTAAAAATAATGTAGCCTAGTGGTTAAAGCGTTCGCTCGTCACGCTGAAGACCCGGGTTCGATTCCCGACATGGGTACAATGTGTGAAGCCCATTTCTGGTGTCCCCCGCCGTGATATTGCTGGAATATTGCTAAAACCATACACCCCCCCCCCCCCCCCCATACACACACACGCGCCCACCCCCACGCCCACCAAGATAATAAAACGTCGATCCGCGTCTGGTATGGTAAACTTACCCTTGCCTGTTTGTGTTGCATAACCTCTAATAAAGGCATCCTCGGGAGCACTTGTGATGACGACCAGGTGGCTGCCCAAGAACCGACAGATCGACTGAAATTGAATTACCGAATATTTTCCAAATACGTAAAAATGTTGTAAATGGGCCGTGTTAATGTGTATGTTTGTGCAAGTTGTATGTATGTATGTGCATGTGTATGCAGGTGTCAGTGTGAAGGTGTAGGTGCGTGCATATTTGTATGCAGGTGTGTATGTGTAATGGTGTGTGTGTAGGTGTTTGTGTAAAGGTGTAGGTGTGTGTGTATTTATGTGCGCACGAACATGTATGCAGATGTGTGTGTAGAAGTAGATGTATGTATGTTGGTGTGTGTGTGTGTGTGCGCGCGTGTGTGAAGGTGTGTGTGAAGGTGTGAAAGTGTGTGAAGGTGTGTGTGAAGGTGTGAAGGTGTAAACTTGAGGGCGAAAGATGAATTATCAACGGCACGCAATTCATGATTACTTGTTTACTTTCGCCATCAATTTCATTTCATTGAATTACCAATCATTTCGCGTTAATTGGGGCACCGGAAGCAAATAGTTGTACTCCTACTTGAAATATGGCGCGGAAAAAGGGCTGTGCTCTTTCTCAAATCTACCATCTGAAGCAAACATCTGGTTCATGCAATCAGTCCGGACTAGTACAAGCAGCCACACACACACACACACGTACATGCACGTCGCTATATAAGTGCAATAATCTTGGACGTGACGTTAAACCCTATTTCACCTCACCTCACCTCACCTCATTGAGTGAAAGTACGCCTTAATCATCCATTATTTGACATGACCTTACATGATAAAGGGCTTTATAAGCCTCGTGTGTTTCCATATTGTATATATCATATATTAGGAAAACATAAAATGTATATTGCTCGACTCAGGGATGCATGGTACAATTTGTATTCCTAATAAATAATATATAAGATACGGAAACACACTCGGGAAATAATCTCTGTTTTACAAAAACATCTTTATGACCGACAATTTAGTGACACGTGTTGGTGCAAGTAAGGCCTAGATTCTTGCAGTGTTATATAGGGCACTCTACGTGCTGCCACACCGTGGGCACCATTCTCTGTGCAGAGTTCGACCCGTAGTGCCGGCAGGATCCAACGATTTTGGTTCCAAGCTTCGCCCTCATTTTCATTCTTTGTTTTTAAGCACCAATTATTCTCGTGGCTTTCACCAATGTCGAAAATGTCGATCACCTGCATCACTTTTAATCCAAATCTCCAATCATAAGTTGATATTCGGTTTTATGACTGAAATACTGTACAAATCAGCGATAAACCCAACTCACTCACTCACTCACTCCTCCCTCATCATGATGACACTCCGTGATATAACTGAAATACTTTCAAAGTAGCGTCACACGCAAATCACCAACTCACTCCTCCCACACCAAACTGACACGCAGTGATATAACTGAAATACTGTTAAAAGCAGCGATAAACCCAACTCACTCACTCACTCCTTCTACATCAAGCTGACACGCCGTGATCTAACTGAAATACTGTTCAAAGTGGGTGTTAAACCCAACTCACTCACTCACTCCTCCCACATCAAGCTGACACCCAGTGATATAACTGAAATACTGTTCAAAGCAGCGATAAACCCAACTCACTCACTCCTCCCACATCAAGCTGACACGCCGTGATATAACTGTAATACTGTTCAAAGCAGCGAAAAACCCAGCTCACTCACTCACTCCTCCAACATCAAGCTGACACGCCGTGATAGAACTGAAATACTGTTCAAAGCAGCGATAAACCCAACTCACTCACTCACTCACTCCTCCCATCTCAAGCTGACACTCAGTGATATAACTGAAATACTGTTCAAAGCAGCGATAAACCCAGCTCACTCACTCCTCCAACATCAAGCTGACACCCAGTGATATAACTGAAATAATGTTCAAAGCAGCGATAAACCCAGCTCACTCACTCCTCCAACATCAAGCTGACACCCAGTGATATAACTGAAATACTGTTCAAAGCAGCGATAAACCCAACTCACTCACTCACTCACTCCTCCCATCTCAAGCTGACACTCCGTGATATAACTGAAATAATGTTCAAAGCAGCGATAAACCCAGCTCACTCACTCCTCCAACATCAAGCTGACACCCAGTGATAGAACTGAAATACTGTTCAAAGCAGCGATAAACCCAACTCACTCACTCACTCACTCCTCCCATCTCAAGCTGACACCCAGTGATATAACTGAAATAATGTTCAAAGCAGCGATAAACCCAGCTCACTCACTCCTCCAACATCAAGCTGACACCCAGTGATAGAACTGAAATACTGTTCAAAGCAGCGATAAACCCAACTCACTCACTCACTCCTCCTATCTCAAGCTGACACTCAGTGATATAACTGAAATAATGTTCAAAGCAGCGATAAACCCAGCTCACTCACTCCTCCAACATCAAGCTGACACCCAGTGATATAACTGAAATACTGTTCAAAGCAGCGATAAACCCAACTCACTCACTCCTCCAACATCAAGCTGACACCCAGTGATATAACTGTAATACTGTTCAAAGCAGCGAAAAACCCAGCTCACTCACTCACTCCTCCAACATCAAGCTGACACGCCGTGATAGAACTGAAATACTGTTCAAAGCAGCGATAAACCCAACACACTCACTCCTCCCATCTCAAGCTGACACTCCGTGATATAACTGAAATACTGTTCAAAGCAGCGATAAACCCAGCTCACTCACTCCTCCAACATCAAGCTGACACCCAGTGATATAACTGAAATACTGTTCAAAGCAGCGATAAACCCAACTCACTCACTCACTCCTCCCACCTCAAGCTGACACTCCGTGATATAACTGAAATACTGTTCAAAGCAGCGATAAACCCAACTCACTCACTCACTCACTCACTCACTCCTCCCACCTCAAGCTGACACCCAGTGATATAACTGAAATACTGTTCAAAGCAGCGATAAACCCAACTCACTCACTCACTCCTCCCACCTCAAGCTGATACTCCGTGATATAATTGAAATACTGTTCAAAGCAGCGATAAACCCAGCTCACTCACTCCTCCAACATCAAGCTGACACCCAGTGATATAACTGAAATAATGTTCAAAGCAGCGATAAACCCAGCTCACTCACTCCTCCAACATCGAGCTGACACCCAGTGATATAACTGAAATACTGTTCAAAGCAGCGATAAACCCAGCTCACCCACTCCTCCAACATCAAGCTGACACCCAGTGATATAACTGAAATAATGTTCAAAGCAGCGATAAACCCAACTCACTCACTCACTCACTCCTCCCATCTCAAGCTGACACTCAGTGATATAACTGAAATAATGTTCAAAGCAGCGATAAACCCAGCTCACTCACTCCTCCAACATCAAGCTGACACCCAGTGATATAACTGAAATAATGTTCAAAGCAGCGATAAACCCAGCTCACTCACTCCTCCAACATCAAGCTGACACCCAGTGATATAACTGAAATACTGTTCAAAGCAGCGATAAACCCAACTCACTCACTCACTCACTCATCCCATCTCAAGCTGACACTCCGTGATATAACTGAAATAATGTTCAAAGCAGCGATAAACCCAGCTCACTCACTCCTCCAACATCAAGCTGACACCCAGTGATATAACTGAAATACTGTTCAAAGCAGCGATAAACCCAACTCACTCACTCACTCCTCCCACCTCAAGCTGATACTCCGTGATATAACTGAAATACTGTTCAAAGCAGCGATAAACCCAGCTCACTCACTCCTCCAACATCAAGCTGACACCCAGTGATATAACTGAAATAATGTTCAAAGCAGCGATAAACCCAGCTCACTCACTCCTCCAACATCGAGCTGACACCCAGTGATATAACTGAAATACTGTTCAAAGCAGCGATAAACCCAGCTCACCCACTCCTCCAACATCAAGCTGACACCCAGTGATAGAACTGAAATACTGTTCAAAGCAGCGATAAACCCAACTCACTCACTCACTCACTCCTCCTATCTCAAGCTGACACTCAGTGATATAACTGAAATAATGTTCAAAGCAGCGATAAACCCAGCTCACTCACTCCTCCAACATCAAGCTGACACCCAGTGATATAACTGAAATAATGTTCAAAGCAGCGATAAACCCAACTCACTCACTCACTCCTCCCACCTCAAGCTGATACTCCGTGATATAACTGAAATAATGTTCAAAGCAGCGATAAACCCAACTCACTCACTCACTCACTCCTCCCATCTCAAGCTGACACTCAGTGATATAACTGAAATAATGTTCAAAGCAGCGATAAACCCAGCTCACTCACTCCTCCAACATCAAGCTGACACCCAGTGATATAACTGAAATACTGTTCAAAGCAGCGATAAACCCAGCTCACTCACTCCTCCAACATTAAGCTGACACCCAGTGATATAACTGAAATACTGTTCAAAGCAGCGATAAACCCAACTCACTCACTCACTCACTCCTCCCATCTCAAGCTGACACTCCGTGATATAACTGAAATAATGTTCAAAGCAGCGATAAACCCAGCTCACTCACTCCTCCAACATCAAGCTGACACCCAGTGATAGAACTGAAATACTGTTCAAAGCAGCGATAAACCCAACTCACTCACTCACTCACTCCTCCCATCTCAAGCTGACACCCAGTGATATAACTGAAATAATGTTCAAAGCAGCGATAAACCCAGCTCACTCACTCCTCCAACATCAAGCTGACACCCAGTGATAGAACTGAAATACTGTTCAAAGCAGCGATAAACCCAACTCACTCACTCACTCCTCCTATCTCAAGCTGACACTCAGTGATATAACTGAAATAATGTTCAAAGCAGCGATAAACCCAGCTCACTCACTCCTCCAACATCAAGCTGACACCCAGTGATATAACTGAAATACTGTTCAAAGCAGCGATAAACCCAACTCACTCACTCCTCCAACATCAAGCTGACACCCAGTGATATAACTGTAATACTGTTCAAAGCAGCGAAAAACCCAGCTCACTCACTCACTCCTCCAACATCAAGCTGACACGCCGTGATAGAA